GTGAGCGCCCGCGATAATTGATGAACTTTAGACTTCGCTAATGCTTTCGTTTCCCCTGGTGTAAATAGCCGGCGGGGAATTAGTACCCTCGCACGGCGCTTCGCGCCGTCGGCTCGGGAATTACGTCAAATTTGACCAATCAACGTGTAGGACTTGTTATGTTCACTTGTGCGAAAATACTAATATGTGATACTAACACAGCTAGGATTTATATTCTCAGTTAAGCAATCTTGTATCAAGAAATTTTAAGGGCCTTTGTTGCTTTGGGGGCTTATTTTAATTAAACAGGGGCTCAGGACAAAGTGCCCTTCTCTCGGAGGAGGACCCGGGGACCTTAAATTTGAAATGTGCTGTATATGGCAAATCATAATTAGTAGCAACCCTGCAGTGTATGGACTCAGTGAGTACGCGTTTTGACGACCACTACTAGTGCATGGGATAAATATTTTCTGATTTAAAGAACTGAACTACGACATTCATCAATGGTCACCGCACTTGGTGTTGATGGAGGCGAGTCCTAAAACGGTTTCTGATAAAGAACGAAGATGGGTTATCGTCGGAATATGTCTGACCAAAGTTCTTACTCCAGCTTTGTGAGATGTTCTTGCCAATGAAATGCCAATATGGTATGGAAGCCTGCTCCTGCCTCGCTACCAAATTGATAAACAGACATTCGGTGGGCAAGCAAAAACGTTACCACCTTCTCAATGGAAACTGAACAATGAAAGTGTCAACAGTTCCACTACCCCAAAACTCTTCATCGTAAGTACGACTATGCTGTCAAAGATCCAGTATCTTTGGCGAAGTTGTTCATGAAGCCATTCATGGCTAGCTTTACTGGTTTTGATCAAACTATGGATACTTCCGCAGCCTTATCAATTTATCACGAGGCCCAGCCTTTTCATGGAGCTAGTGGTATAGCAAAGAAAATTAGATCATACGTTAGAAATGAGTGGGCGCATTCTAACTTTTCTCACTGGACTGACGTAAATTACCGTGCAGCTTTAACCGACATAGAAGCCTTAGTCAACAATATCAACCTAACATCAGCTGAAAAAAAGAAACGCTTGGTGACCTTGATGGCTGGAAACAAAAAGATATGAATTATTTAACGACTAGTTTAAGACGTAAAGACTTCTTGAAAATTGGAGCGCACGTGTCCATATATATAAGACGAATATTTTCACTGTTTTTCCATGTCTGTTAGTCTGTTGATTACCAAGATATCGATATTGACAAATTATTGACTGAGAGCGGTTACAGGGCAAAAAGTCGTATTGCTCTGTCTAAACAGCTTTTTCCTGGTTAGGACGAAGCAAAAATCCGACATTTTTGAGTGGCAAACACACCACGGGAAAACACAAGGTCAAAACTACTCCTGACTCGAATATAATGTTAGGAACACTTAGGGTCACTCACTTGGGTTTTTGCATTATACTACACTATAGTATCCGGAAGACTCCGATCCTAGTGTTCCTTCACTTTACATGACATGAAGACGAAATTTACTGGACACATTGACAATGCGCTCCTGAACATTGCAATTTGCTACGTTTGTGCTGAAAGTCCGGTTATCATGTCAACAGCGTGCTTAGGAGAAATCTCAAAAGTTGTCTTTTTCCGTCCAATTTAAAAATTCCCTTCGGTAAATTTTTTTAAAACTTTGCATAATTCTGGTATGATGATTTTTTTCTTCAATTTTAAAAAATGCCGGTATAAAAGGGCGAAAGTAAAACAGGAAACTTGCGAGCTGTTTAAGGTATTTATTTTTAAATTTGTTGAGCAAAACCGCAGCACAAAATATCAATGCTACAAACAAAAGCTCAATCTTCTAAATGTATTTCAAAAACAAGTTTTTCAACAAAAACAAATAATGACAACTAAATTGAACATTTTTGAATTAATTGGACCGTTTGGACGTAAAATATTTGGCTTGTACACTTCAGTCATTGTTGCGCCTTAGGTCCCGTTTACACTGTACCAGATTACTTTTCATACCAGATTAATTTTCACTCTGAAGTAAAAAACAAGGGTGTTTTCACTATGCCGTTTTTCTTTGTTGCCAGCTCATGTTTTTCACTGTCGCCATGGAAACAGGAGAAAACCTTTTTGCTAATATACTAAAATTTATTAAAAACAAGAAGTAACACTGTGACAAGTTTTCTTTGTAAATTATAACTTTGTTTAAAAACCTTTTCCACCAGACCTACAATCTTGGCAAAAAGTTAATGAAACACCTATAAAAAATCAGTAAAACAGACAAAATCCCCTCCCCCCTGCACAATGTTGGACATAGATTCTAAAAAATTGTGTACAATAGTTCATCGATGGCAGAGAGCACTATGTGTAGGTTTCTTGCTCATCTTGATCAACATTGGATCATCTTAATCAAACTGGATGTTTCATTAGTTTTTGCCAGGATTGTAGCTTCGTTTCGCTCTAATCCAAAATTGACGAGTATTTCTTAAATCTTGCTCTTACGAAAGCGAAAAGTCAATTATATTATCGTTTTCTTTATTTGTCTTCGGCAGAAATAGTAAATGGATAAGGTTGTAAGGCGAAACAAACAATGGCTATAAAGTATTGTAAAAAAGCGGGCAAATAAAGGCGACAGTATTAAAACATACATGCCAAAACCGATTTTGTACCGAAGCGTAACCTGTTCACACTGCTCCGGCACATACCGGATTACTTTTCATATCACCTCCAAAGCGGAGTGATTTTTGCTCAGCGTCGCCAATTTGAAAAGTATTTTCGAAATTCTTGGTTATAACGATGAAGAGTTGAAGAAATCTGTTGTTTTGGCACTATTTCTTCACTTAATTCACCTTTTTGAACAACTTTTAATCGGCATATTTCATAATAATAAACTCAAAACAGCTTTTTTGTTTGTTAAGAAACTTGATTGACACTTCTTCTTTGTATGTGATATTTTATCCAATCAAATTCAAGAATGATGACGTCAGTGTTAATTTGTTCCTAATTTGGTATGCAACTTCGTAACCTGTTTCAGGATGTTTGTTTTCATTGAATCATTGCATTTGCCGCTTACAGAGCTAAACGCATGCAAATCCTTCAAAAAAGACAAGGAAATCTATTTTTTGAGGTTTGTCATATAATAAAAATTCCATTGAATGGTTTGACATATAACCCTGCCAAGTATTTACTCGTTTCTCGCATTTTTCCTCGCCCTTCCAAGACTCGGAAAAATACGTTCGAAACTCGTGAAATACTCGGCCGGATTATTTGTCAAATCATTCAATAAGATATATATAATTTATTTTATTAACTTCTTATTAACCGAACGCGAGGTCTGTACGGAGAAATATTCGATATTTCTCTGTACATACCGAGCAAGCGAGGTTAACGAGGTTAAAAAGCATTTATAGGCATTTATACTTGAAACAAACAAGAAATTCACTATTTGAAATGCTTATTAGTACCGTGGTACACATTTGGTCGAAGAAAACAAAAAATACCAATGTATTCCTTCTTTTCCACCAAAAAACATTCACAGATATCTTATTAATAATAAATTAAATTATAATTTTCAAATTTACAATTAGTTTTGCTGTTTTGTTTTAAAATGCATGCGTTCGTTTTTACGTAATGGATCGCCGGTCCATTATACGGAAAAATAATGGCCGCTGAAAGTGCTTCTCAGCCAATCACAGTTATCCATTTTACCGGAAGTGATGCTTGCCCTGTAGTATTTTGTCTCTTTCAAAAAACCAAGGAAACTATAATGTCAACAACCTTATCATTTGGGAGGTCTCGAACCCCTATATTCGTACACAGACCTCTTACACCAGCCCAGGGTAAAATATAACTGGAACGCTGCCTTCAGATAAACTGCCTATGTTTTATTCTCGAAGGGAAATAGCATGCCGTTTTACTGAAATTTACATTATATTAGAGAAGAAAAGATTATTTTTAGCAAACAAATTAAGGTTCTATGGTTTATATTGGTAACATAACAAAATTTCATTATTTCATAAAGTTATGGAAAAAACGGGCCAAGAGGTCGATCAAAATATTGTCTTTTATTTATTCAAGTACGTTTCATGTAATTATATTACTGCTAAACGTTTCAAAACTCGCGGGGCTATATTTTATTATTTTACAATAATTGCTGTAGGTCTTAGTACAGGTATACATAAGCCTATTTCCGTGAAATTTCCTTGATTAACAGAATAAATCAATCTAGAAAACGAAAAAATAATCGCTAGAAAATTGTATAAAAGAACTCAACAATTGAATAAATAATAATTTTAATAATGATCGATTTCATAATAATTTCCGAATCACGCTAACCCTAACCCCTATATCTAGAGATGCCTGTGCATGGAGGAGGCTACCGCCAAAGTCACTTGCAGGGACGCTGGAAGTGGGGGGGGCAGGAGGGGCAGCTGCCCCTCTTGCCTTTTGCTAGGAGGGGCAAGGGGGCAGAAGTTCCCTTTGAGTTATAAAATACTACCTGATAAATCACATTTACAGTGATGCTTTTTGGGCAAAATCATGAGGTGTGATCTTGAATGTGACCTGATTAAGTGCGTTTGCTTTCATATATTGGCAAGTCAACACATTGTTGTAGGTTTATATCTTCACCGGAGTCTATAGGGGTGCCCTTTGGTGTGCGTTTGCACCCCTTGCCTTTTTATCGTTCCGGCGTCCCTGGTCACTTGCAGGAAATATTGTGAGGCCATTGAAAGAAAATATTCAATTGAAAGCGCTTCAGCCAAAATGTTATAATTGTGATTTAGAACATATTTGTTTTTCAATTTTAATTTTTTTTTTATTAATCCAAAATAACCAAATTAATCAGATATTTCAGCAACTTTCTTCATAAAAATCAAGTTCAATGGCATTTTAAAATTATGATGACGTCAGTAATATTATTATATAAAAACTCCAGAAAGTATTATTGTGCAAAACCTATACGGAAATTTGTTCATCTTGTGAACGTCTAAAATGACGTAATACTGGTCGCTCTTTATCGTCTACCAACGCTGATAAGTTGGAAAATCACCAATAAGTACACGAACCATCTCGTTCTTAGCAAGCAGAGCCCAAAAAAACTTCTTCTTCCATCCATAAAAGTGACAGTTTGAACCACACTCTCTTACAAGATGATAAATACCGGAATGTTCATGTTTATCAAGATCTCCGTTAATGGTCAGGCTGCGATCTTCTATAGCAAAAAGGGTGCCTCCGTCATTTGATCTCCTCCAATTATCGCATGCTTGTATTTTTACAATAAATCGTTTACCAAGCTTAGGCGCTACGGCGTATTCTGGACCACTTTGTTCAAGCCACTCGTTTGCCGCCTTCACTTCAGACTCCATTGATATATATTTATCACCAAGTAAACCGCAAGACGATGGAAGAACTTTAACCAAAACGCTGTATTTCTCTAAAAGCCAAGCACAGTTGTTCCTATGCTTTTTCCAGTCACTTTCTTGGCATTCTGAATTGCAGTATCCTGCAGTAAAACATCCGATACATTTCTTCAATTGGCCTTTTTTATGACAGAAAAAACAAATTTCAGGAACATCTTGTGAAGGTGGCGGCATTCCATCATTTATATTTTCTTTGAGTACGTTCTCCGTACATATTGCTTCTTTCAAATTATCCGGCATGCTTTTGTACATATTAAATGGACTACCAACTGGACCGACATTATCAGGAAGCGCAAAGGTTTGGTCAATGGCAGGTCCTTCGTTACCAACAATCTGATTAAATTCAATAACTACCTGTTCATGCACGTCTGACCTAATTGGAACTACTGAAATACCACCATACTTGTTTTGATAAATTTTATTCCGAGAAACACGACACCAAGCATCAGTCATCGTTGAAATACCCCAATAACCGTTTTCAAAAATTTCATTTTCCTCAATGATTGCAGACGAATTGTTACAAAGATAAATCCCATGACGATCATTATGAAATATTTCATTACGTCTCAATTTGCTTTCCCGTTCACTCCCCCAATCGCTACACCAATTTTCTTGTTATCATAAACTTGACAATCCGAAACATCACACGTGCCGTTATGAACTTGTAAACCCCATTGGTTCCCGTGAAGTTTGCTATTCTTAAGTACAAGATTTCCAGGTTCTAAAACATTCAATCCAACAATCTCGTTACTTGAAAATACAGAATTATTCACCTGAGCATTCCCAAGAACGGTCAACGCAACACCTTGGCAATTTGCAAACCGACATTTCTCCACACTTAGACTGCCTTCTGATATAAAAGAACAATGACTGTTACTAGTGATAGAACATTCAAAAAGCTTAACTACAGATTTGCGAGTGGTACACCAAGTTCCAAGGTCGAATATAAAAGAAATATTAACGGCCATTAAATTGTAAGAAAGCAAACTGAAATTACCAATGAAAGATAGTGTAACATGAAGATCAGGCGAGGTATCACTTACACCAACAAGACTAACATTTCCTAAGCACAACTGTTGTGCTCGAATCAATTCAAAACACTCCGCAGAGAGACAATATCTGCCAGCTTTGAGGACAATAATTTTTTGCGGCAAATCAGAAACAATTACATATGGCAACGGAGAGAGCAAAGAAACAAGAGAAGACACGCTATTACAAACATGAATGCATTGCTTTAGCTTAGGAAAGGAAATTTTGAATGGCTCAAATTTGTCAAATATATCGTGATTATGATAAAATGCTAAAGCTGCAGAACACTGTGCACCCCCCTTTTCATTCATTTCGTGGAGAGCTAAGGCTTTCCTTGCATAACCTCTCCAGCACTCAGGAGAGTACGCGATGTATTCATCAGCATCATTCAGGGCATTATTGTACTGCTTTAACCTGAGATAAGCAGAAGCACGGTTGCTAAGCAACTTAGGGTCAAAGGAATCTCTTCCTTTGCTTCTATTGATACAAGAGGAATATATTTCTATAGCTTCGTGGAAATTACTTTCCATGAAAAGCTTGTTACCTTCCAAGCGCATTTTTTCAATTTCTGATTTAATGGTCTTAGAAGTAGTAGGAGTTTTTGTGTCAACAGGTGCCTTACAGGAATATTGAATACGCCTTCGAAGAGGCTGTGACAGCGGAAACGTGTGTGGAAATAAAGTCTTCAAGCTGTCGTCGGAAATCACGTTTCCACCCCAGTCAAGAATACGATTAGCAAAGTCAGCAACAATTTTTGCCTGACTACTATAATTATTCAAATTCAAATGTAGAGCACATTCATAGACTATTCTTGCTACTTCTGGCAGAAAAACGGTTTTCTCCTCTACATCACAGAAGATATCTAGAAACTTCTCAAGATTCGTTTTAATTTCATAGACATGTAAACACATCTTATGCCACTTGTAGAAGCGGGAAGAATCAGTTGAATAAAGAGAAGATCGATCGTTATGCTCACCATCAAAACAGTCTAGAACGATGTCTGGAGAAGGGCAATTTGACAAAGCAAAATGCAACAAACGAGCTGCGTCAACAATGCTTTGAACTATCCCTTCCGGTTTAAGATTTTCTCGAATGACCTCTTGGACTAAACGATGTACTGCTAGGGAAGAGTTATGCGTTTCCTTAAAGAGTGAGAAATCAGTCAGGAGTTTCAGGACTTCACGAGAACCTAAAGAAGAGCTCACATGATCACAATATGCTTTGTCATCAACACGAGGTTCTCCGACATTAACGAGTTCTCTCTGAATTTCATTGGGGTTCATAAACGCAGAAGCATTAATGAAACGAATGGCGATCATTCCATTTTCGTTCTTTCGGATATGTTCAAAGTTGAGAAGCCATGTTGTACGGACGGCCAATCGTTCTTGAGATGTTCCGTAAGGGGACTTTGCTTTCCTCTTGTTCAGAAGTTGAAGGGACTGTTTCTCGTACGATTCTAAGTAGTTGGATAAAGTGCACGCAAGGTATTTGATATAAGCACAAGCTTGTTCTAACGCCAAAGGTAATCCACCAAGCTTTTGAAATAGAAGGTCTGCATTCTTGTCTACGTCAAGGAAAAGATAATATTTAATACAAAATATAATTAGAAATATAGCAACTGTTTACAATGGATCGAAATGTTTAGAAATTTAATTGATGTAGTTGTCATAGGTTGTTTGAATTATAGATTGTGATACACTGTATTAAGATTTTCAAGGACCACCCATCGCTACTTGAAGTCTTTAAAAAACTCACAACAAAACGTGAACAATGTTTTTTAATAATAGGTCAATACGTTTCCTTAATTAAGTTGTTGGAAATGAAATGATAAATAATAACGACGCTATAGTAACCTTACATTTCTAATTTTAAAAGTATGCGGAATTGCACTTCAGTGCGACTTTCAATTCTGAATTTTTCAATAATGTTGTTGTATAAGGTACATGCACCCAGAATGTTAGCTAACCTTGTTTTTCATTGCGAACAATCCCAGTCCTCTTGAACACGAAATTCTTCGCCTCCTCTGAACTAAAGCATTCAAGTTTGAAGCATCTGGATTCTTTGAAACCAGGAACATCTTCTTTTAACTCCTGCGGCGTTCTTCGTGTTGTCATGACGAGATGACCAAGGGAGGCGACGTTTGCTTGCCACGATCCCGATACCAACTTCAAAAAAATTTGTGAAAGATTAAATTGATCCATATCATCAATGACCATCAGCCATGGTTTTGTAAAGCGCGAAAATACTGCTAAGGTTTTCGACAATGTAGCTTCAAGTGAATTTTCATGAAGTGTATTGAATTGGGCTGCAATGTCATCAACGGTTGCTTTCAACTTTACATCATCTTCTCCAGAAAGCCAATAGACACCCCCTTGATAATAGTCTTTCCATTTGTGTATATATTCTGCAGTAACACTTGTTTTTCCGCTTCCTCCTAAGCCAGATACGGCTGCTACGATTACTTTCTCTTCACTATTCGCATTGTCGTTCACTAGAATATCTCGAAGCAAATCCAGTTCAGATTTTCGGCCGCTGAACCACTGGGTTTGCTTTGGCGCCATGAAAATATATCGTGGTTCTCCTTCGGTTTTTCTTGCCACGTTTTCATACAATGTGAGCTGTCGGAGTTTTAATTGCTCAACATCTTGTTCAGTACGGAGTTGTCTTTCTTTCAAATCTTGGATTTCCTGTTTCAAAGACTTCTCGATGGTTAGCAGGGCGTTTAAAAGTTTACTCTGTACATATACCTGTAAGAGAAAGAAAATATATATATTTCAACAAAAATTTATTTAATCTATATTATTGTTTAAGCATATTTGCTGCTGGTAATTAAAAATTCAATCCAATTGTGTTTTCGCACTCTTCTGTTCAGCGTTGTGCTTGTAGCATTCAAATTACGACAATAAGGTTAATTTCTAAAGGTCTCGTTTTTTTATAGACACAATATATTAATTGTGCTTTAACAACAATAGATTAATTTCTAAAGGTCTCTTTTTTATGCACCCTGTATAGTGCCCCCAATTAGTAGGGGTGTGCTAATAATCTTTACTTGCAGCTCTGAGCTAAGCTGAATTACGAAGAACACAGCTCAACCCTGAACGAGTTGAAGCTTTCTAAAGCCTGTTTTCCACTAGGCGAATTAATTCGCGCGAAGCGACTTCTTCCTTTAATTGTCAGCAACGCTTATCACGTCAGCAAACGTGACGCCAATAAAGGAAAAGTCGCTTTGCGCGAACAAATTCGCCTAGTTGCAAATGGGTTTAATTAAGGGTAAAGGACACTTCTGGGCTGGCAGAGACCTTATGACTCGTGTCTGACTGATCACGGAGTCCAGTCCTCCCTCTCAACATTTCAACATTTCCTGAGAAACCGCGATTACCTGGAGAAGTCGGAGAAAACCCACAACTATCGCTAGAGCATTGGCTAACTATTTTCACATTATTAACGGCCATGCGTCCGCAGTGAGAATTAAACCCACGATCTCAGAGGTTAAAAGTACTTGCTCTGACGATTGCGCTGCCGATCCGAAGCTAGCCAGCGTGGCCGGCTCTTTTATAGGGCAGATAATTGAAGGAGAGCCTGCCCGGAAGCCCTAGTAAAATTGATGCTCTCGGCAGCCAGCTGCCGAGAATTGTGATTGGCTGAATTTACGTTGACGACAGGTTGATTGACATGTT